GATTAACATATTACTAATTTTTGAAAAGTGTTCATTGAATATATCAGCTATTTCTTGTGGGTCTTGTACAGTTTTGTTGTTGTAGTGGAGCTGTATGGTTTTTTGTTTTGTTTTGTTTTATTAGTTGGTGCTGTAGTCTTTTTAATAATGTCCCACATGGCTTTTGTTTTATTAAGAGGAGCAAAAGTTTGTGTGCCATGTATTTCCACCAGGTATTTTGGTTTGGTAGGAGGGTCAATATAGAGTGGTAGAAAATCAAACTTTATTTGTATTCATAAAATATGATTATTGTACCATCTCTAAAAATAATCTTTCTACATTTCAGACAGTTCTTAATCAGTACTAATTGGAATGATACTCTTTATTTTTAGGATCCTTATTCATGCTAAGTATTACTTAGAATCACAAATCACTGTTGTATGAACCATGTTTTGTTTCACCCTGAATAACAGCACAGAAGCAACATATTAACAACAATCTACCTAGCAACTTCCTGCTGCTAAATACTCTTGCTGTCTAAAATGACAGTCATAGCCTTCTTTAAAATTGTATTGTTTCATGGGCAAAGAAAATATATGTCAATGGTAATTAGGATGAAATAAAATGTATTTTTGAGAGCTAATAAAAAAAATGTTTGGTTTCTTTACAATTGTTGGTTCATTTTAAATTTTCAAACTGAAACTATTTTAACTTTTTTTGTTTCTGCTGGTTGAAAATTTAAATTCTTTATCAACAAATGGGTGTCATTGGTTTAATTTGGTATCTTTCTAAATTATAATTTTTAAAGGTAAATGAAGTATATTATTTTCCTTGTGTGTATATTTGAACATTATTCCCACAGAAAGCCCAATCAGTGAAAGAAGCCTTGGATCTTCTTGTGGGTCGTGATCAGTTGGAAGGAGTAACTTGTTCAAGGACAAACCAAGAAGTAGAAGCTTGGCAGCAAGTAACATTAGAAGAACTTCCTCTAGTTTTGGTTTTGCATCTTAAGTGGTTTAACTACAAATTAGATGGATGTTCCAAAATTGTGAAAACTGTGGAATTTCCTGTTGACTTAAAATTTGAAGGCAGTAAGTATGAATCACAGAATCTGTCCAATAAAACGTTCTTATGGTTTAATTTTCTTCATGTTTGTTGATAATACATAATGTTTCTGCAAGGGAACAACTGCATTAATACAGTAGAACCCTGATTTAACGTTAACTTCAGAAAGTTCCAACGATGCCTACAATGCAATTATAATTTAGATTTAATGTCATTAATTTTGGTGCATGAGCTGCATTTAGCACCCATTTTTCCTCCTCCTCCTCCTCCTCTTCCTCCTTCCATCTACGAATTGGGAACAGTCACTAAATACATCATGAAATGCAGCCAACTGTAGTGTACAAAACCAGTTAACAATGGCAATAACAACTTTTTATAAGGTGGTGTCTCACTGAGTTTGCTGCTCTGAATCAGATTGTGCTGGAGCGGGAGTACCCTTCATCCGTATAAATTTCGCACTCAGTGATAGAACTTGTTCTATTATATTGTGATTTATGTATGGGGCCATCCGTAAATATTGTAACGCTTGTTTACAGTATTTGAATACCCCCTCTCCCCGTCACGCATATATAACTGACCCTCCCCTCCCTCTTTATACAATAAGTAAAAATAAATTATAAACTAGAAATAATGACTTGCATAAATTTTAATTGTCATATACACACACACACACACACACACACACACATATATATA